AGCAGTTCAGATATTTACAACGCGAAATCTTATTATAGACGAGCAGTTCAGGCCTGAGTCCCCAGCAGCAGCAGCAGCAACACCAGCAGCAGCAGCAGCAGCAGCAGCAGCAGCAGCAGCAGGGGGAGGAGGGGGAGAGGAGGGGGCTTGTGTACAGCCACGTGTTGTTGTGTTTACAGCACGAGATGAAGGGACACCCCATAAGAGCAGCGAGCTAGGAGACGGGCTGCCTGAGCTGGGGGTTGACGTCTCCGTATGGAGGCCTTATATTTCTATAGAGTGTACAGACAGCTGGGAGCCTGAGGTATACATAGGCCCTTGCTGCAGCGACAGCAGCAGCAACAACAGCAGCAGAGAAGCTGCAGCAGCTGCAGCAGCACCTGGGATAGATAGCAGCAGCAGCAGCAGACAACCAGCACCAGGACATATTGTTATACACGGGCTGTGTAAGCCCACACTAGAAGAGAGAACGGCTCTGCCAGCAGCAGAATGCCCAGCACTATAAGCAGTGCAGCAGCAGCAGCAGCAGCAGCAGCAGCAGCTGCTGCTGCTGCTGCTGCTGCTGCGGCTGCGGCTGTGTTTGCTGTATTGAAAGCCGTGGCTGCCAGTGTCTGCTGCTGCTGCTGCTGCTGTCTTGGTTCTAGCGGCCTTCGCTTGCAGAAGCAAACAAATTTTATTTTATTGTTTGGGCAACTGAAAATAATTTATATAAATTTAACTGTCTCCTCAGCTCAGTGTCTCCGTGTGTCTCTGTCTCCTGTAAAAAGGAGACAGCTGCTGCTGTCTCCTGTCTCCTCTGCTCTGCAGCAAGTCCCTTTTCTGCTGTCTCCTCACTCAGCTGCTGCTCTGTCTGTCTCTCTATCTGTCTCCTTTTTCTCGTTCCCTTACTTTCTCTGTCTCCTTGCGGTGTCTCCGTCTCTGTCTCTGCTCTACCTGTCTCTGTCTCTGTCTCTGTCTCCTTTCAGACTAAATATATAAATTTTTCTTCGTTAGTCCCCTAGAGGGTTAAACTCTATTTCAGCTGTTGGCTGCGTTCCCGTAGATAGGGTTTAGGGTTTAGGGTTTAGGGTTTAGGTCCGTCTCTGTCTCTCTCTGCTTCTCAGGGCAGCAGCAGCAGCAGGAGCAGCAGCAGCAGCAGCAGCAGCAAAAGCCATGCTCGGTGTCTCCCTCCCCCCCTGTATTTGTGTTTATATATGGCTGTCTCTGTTGCTGTTATTCTTTATTGTCTCTCTGTCCCTGTTTATTTTTTTTCTGTCTCCGTCTGTCTATATATTTCTTTTTCTGTTTGCTCGCCCCCCCTTTTTTTTTCTGTCCCCTGTACTGTCTCCCTGTCTGCGTCTGCTGCTGTCTCCTTTGTGTCTCTTTCTCCTTCTTGCTGCTTTTGTCTCTCGGCCCATCAACTGTCTCTCTTGAGTTATGCATTTGTCTCTGTCTCCGTTCCTATATCTATCTTTTGTTTTTCTGTCCCTGCTTGTATCTCTACGCTGCTGTCTCCGTCTCTG